ACTATTGGTTGAATTGGAGGTTTCTTAAAAAAGAGGTCGTAGGTTCAAAACTCAACGTCACCCAGTTAAAGAAATTAAGATCTCATGTGCAAGACTCGAAAGGACTATACCTGCACGTGAAGAGCATGTTAGAATATTAAAAAAATTTCTTAAGCAACAACTACAAGTTCAAGCTTTTAGTTGAATTGATTCTGTAACATACACACCAACAAACACAAGCACTAATATAAATTGTAAAAAAATCTACTATTGACTATATTGTAGTATTATAGCATAAGAAATCTACCTGGATAAGAGTAAAAAACACTATGAAAATACAAAAATAGGAATCACAAGTATTTTAAGACTGAAATAGGAGTATAATGACAGTGTCGTGTAAGGGTATTTGTGATGAAAAAGTGATGATAATGTTAATATGGAGTACATAAGTGTGAGCAGTCAATCGTTAGCGATCCACGGCGGTACTCTGGTAGCCGGGGGCGATGGATGACAGTGTGGCGGTGATAATGGGGCACTTACAATATGGTAAGTGTGACAGTATAACAATGATATTGTGAACTCTGATTTTGGTCATAAAAGACTTATAACTTTTATTTTGATATTGTCATAATTTTTTACTCATATCTATGAAGTTCTCCCTTATATTATCTGCTTAAAATAGGAAAGATTTCATTCTTTGTAGTGTGCAAAAATACATAATTTTTTAAAATAGGAATATATGCATGTATTATAATCATCTAGTAAAATTTGTACTAAATAGGACTAAAATATAAATCATTTACCGGCCAATGTAAGACTTAAACTTTTTTATTCTCTAAATAGTACTTAATAATGTTTAGTGGAAGGAATACTATCTAGTGATGATGGACGTTTACTTGAATAATGTCTAATGTTTAATGACCAATGGTCATACATTGGAAAATAAAAACATTTGATCATATATTTAGAAAGTCATTATGTTTTAGTCATATTTAGGTAAAATCTCCTTATATCTATACTTTTAGGTTTAGTCTGATTGAATTTGGTCAATTATTAAACTAATTAGCATAGTACAATGACAAGAATCTCACTTAACTATTTATTTTTGTCAAAAATGACTGTCTTTTATTTTTTCACAAATGTCATTGGACGCTTTAAAATATTGAAATATGTCATTCATGTATTATTTTTTTGTCAAACTAAGACACTCCTTATTTTCTTTTCTCTTTCGATAACACTACAAAAAAAAGCCTTTGGCATGACATTAATCACAACACATACCTACGAGTTTCAGTGGCTTTTGTATTAGGCACGACAGCAAGGAACTGTTGAATTTTTGAGAGTTTTAATAAGCATTAAATAGACCAATTTGAATATATTCATCAACATGTCCAATAATAGTTTTAACTGTTAGTTATCAAACGTATGTTCTTTTAAATAAGATAAATATTTTTATAATTTATACACCAAAACTAATAGAGAGTAAATAAGAAATCGATTCTCATAGTTAACCCGATAATAGAAGAATATGGTAAGGATTATAGTTTATCATTTTTATTGAACGAACTTTTACTTCCTTCATCCTAGAGTATTTGTCCAGTTTGACCTTTTGAAGTCAAACTGCACAAACTTTAATCATCAATTACTCTCAACTTGTATTGCACATTATGGAGTAATACAATAGAATAAATTTTTGAAAATTCAAAACAACTTAAATATATTAAAATCATTTTTACACTAATACACATTATAGTTTTTACTTAATTAAGACTCAAAATTCGTCTAATTTGACTCAAAAAAGTTAAACTGGACAAGTACTCAGAGATAGAAGTAGTATTATTATATTACGTGATATTTAAGATTAGTCCATTTTTACAGAGTTAAGTGGTCTTAAAATTCCAATTAAATGAGACGAGAATTTAAACAAGCATAAAAAAGAGAGAAGAACATAATAGGAGCAGAAAGTCGTTCAGTGAGGATTTTCCAAGACATGAAGCGAGCAATGACGGATGGAGATCTCTTTTATAAAGGCTCCATTCCATTCAATTTATTTTTTTGATCTGATATGATTTTTTGTAGTTCTGATCTGATCTAGTCTGATCGTATTGGATCTATTCTGATCTGGTCTGATCGGATTGGATCTGATCTGACCTGATTGAATCTGATTTGATCTGATTAATTATGATTTGATTTAAAATTCAAATCAATAATTTGATCTTACTTTATAATAACTTTTGAAAATTGTAATGATAATTCATATTATAATATAATCAATATTTTTAATTTTATGATCATTCTTTAACGAAATAAAATTAGTTAATTCATATATTAGAATAATCATTCATATGATAATGTAATTATATAATGTAATAATATTTTTTCATTCATATTTTATAATATACTACCTTTAGAATCTCAAATTACAGGTATCAATAAAAATGTAGTTTAAAAGTGGAATTAGATTTACATTGTCAATGTATTTTAAAAATAATTTTTCCGACGTCTAATAATTAAAGATTACTTTCTCTGTTTTATATTTAACTTGTTTCTAAAGTTTATTTTTTTTCATTTTTAAGAAAAAATTGTGATTCATATCATTTTATTTTTCTCTACATAAATTATAATCGCACAAAAGTTTCATTTTCTTTCTTATTATAATTTTCAAGAGAATTTAAATTTATTTTTTGAAAGAATCGTATAAAGTAAAACAAGTAAAAAGTATGGAATTTAAAAAGTATGGATTAATAACGATAATGATGATGATGATGATGATGATAATAATAATAATAATTCCTAATAAGAATATGAATAATTCTTGATTGGGTTGGATCTGATCTGATCTGATTAAATCTAATCTGATCTGATTAGGCCAGATCTGATCTGATTTTAATAACAATAAGAAAAAAGAAGAAAAAATAAGTTGAACGGAACGGGGCCAAAGTGTCATTAGTCAAGAGGCCAGAGTAAAAGATTACAGGTAATTCTAATTTCTTTAATTTTTGAAGTAATTTTGTGATATTTTAAATTGAGTTTAAACTTAATAATAATTAAAGGTGTGAAATTGAATCCAACTGTGTTTAATTTTGGAAGTAATTTTTTATATTTTGGGCATTGTAGAACTTATGTATATGTTCCTTTTTGGTGTATCTTCATTTTTCCATATGCACTAGTGGATACTGGATAGAGCCATTTGTTACTTTAGCAAGTGGGGGATAAAATGGAGGAGAATTTACTTAAATAGGACTAAAATATAATCATTTTTTCAATATAGGATCATATGTTTTTATTTCTCAATATAGGACCATTGATCATTATCTATTAGTCATTATTCAAGTAAAAGTCCACCATCACTGGACATTATTCGTCTCACTAGACATTATTAAGCCATATTTAGGGAATAAAAAAGCTTAAGTCCTACCTTAAGAAATGACTTACTCCATCCGTTCCTTAAAACCCTTCTTTTTGTTTTTTTCGTTTTCCCTAAAACACTTCCTTTTTCACTTATTTTTCCTATAATACCCCTAAACCTAATTTATCCCATTCACCTCTCCCACCTTATCCATCCTTAGAACCCCACCTCCTCATCTCGAAAGATCCCTCCTTGGTTCCTTGGCGATTCTTCTCCTCTCCTCATCTTTCTCTTTTCAGAATCGGATCACCTTCATGGCTGCATCCTCTTCTCCAGATCCGAGCATGCCCTCATTTTGCTTGCTCTCTGATAGTGATGAGGACCAACCTAACCCTCATTATCGTAGTTAGAAATCTTTGGCCGAGTGCAAACGATCCATAGCTGCCTTGAAACGTTGTGTTGATCCGCTTCCATCAAGTTCATCTGACACTGATCCTTCATGGAATTTTCGAAAAAAATACCTAGGGGTGAGCATCTGCCGGATGGACTTTAGTGGGAATCAGATCTGGAAGATGATTCATTAGATCTTCAGTCTTCATTCAATACTTATGAGATTCGAGAAATGTCCTTCCAGGGTGTTCGTTTTGCAAGTCAGTTCATAGTGACCTTGCAGCATTCTAGCCAGGCCAGAATGTCCTGGCTGGTATTCAGATTCTAGTCATATTATCCTCGCTGCTGCTCCAGTGACATTGCCATGCACTGCTCACAGTGTCCTCATTATAGGCTTTCTACTTAACAAGAGATAAACACCAACTCACCAGATGCCTCGAGTTTCCAGTGTGCCTCATTTGTCTCCTCCTTCTTGTCCACTGTAGCCCTCTAGACTTTGTCTAACATTGTTCGGGATACTATTAAGCTTATCCCGTTTCCAACCAATGTTTCGATCCACAATGTACCCTTTGAGAGGGTGTTCAAGTATCCACGAGTAGTCATCCCAAAATGGTGTGATCTTCCCATTCTTAACCTAAAAACAGATTATTTTGTGAAAACATGGTGCGACCTCCAAGAATTAGAGCAACCTTTTTTGGTCACAAGGATTTCCATTTCTTCCTTTAGCATATTTATCCTTTACAATATTAGGCCATAAACTATCATCCTCAACTAGGATTCTCCACCCAAGCTTCACTATGAATGCCACATTCATCTCCTTGGAAGATTTGATGTCAAGCCCTCCAACACCTTTAGGCTTAGTCACATTTTTCCTGCACATTAGATGAGACTTTCGTTTATCTAGTGTACCTCCCTAAATAAATCTCCAAGTCTTTGTGTTCATTTGCCAAAGTTTAAAACCCATCATTAATCACTTTTTTCCACCCAAAAGTAAATACTATTTTCAACCTTGTGACGTACAAAGAGTCAATGTTTCTGCCTCTGCTGGGTCTCGAACCTAGTTAGATTGAACTTCCCCGTGAATCTTAGGGAATGAGCTTCCTACCACTCAAGTCAGAGAAGAAGTTCCCCAAAAGTACACACGTTAAAACTATAAGTGTCTAATAATACTCCGTAGTTCCGTAATACTCCCTCCGTCCCGGAGTATTCGTCCAGTTTTGACTTTTGGAACTGTTCATCTAAGCACTTTGACTCACATAAATTCTCTCAATGTGTAAGCCTAAATATAGTCATGTGTGATCTTGTTTGATTTGTCTTAACATATAGATTATTAATATATAATTTCTATAATTTTTTAATATACAAATTACAAGATAAAATGGATTAAAGAAGTGTATTGGATGGTGTGTAAAAATGAAAGTGGACAAATACTCTGGGACGAAGATAGTATTTGTTTGCAATTTACTCGTTTCATTGCAAAAAAACACACACAGACCTCATTGTTCAAAAAACATAGAAACCTTTATTCACTTTTGTATTTTTATTGAATATCCAATAAAATAATATTTTATTCACATACCTTATTTTATAGAATTTTTTACATAATTTTTAAATTTGTAAGTTTTATTTTTTGTTTTTATATTAATAGTTAGATAAAATCAATTAAAAAACTTAAAATTTTACTTTCTTTTACATCATTAGCATTCTTTTTTCTGGATGGAAGGGGTTATTTTTATAGGAGATAGATGAAGAATTTAACTAAGGCACCACAACTATGTCTAGTAATCACCTAGTAAAATATTCATTCATTCGTATTCAAAAAAAAAAAACAAATCATTCATTCTCATCTGGCAAGCACAAACCCGAGGGCAGTTGGGACATTTCTCTAACCACCCAACCAGTTATTGAACATATAGGGCCATTAGTTTTGGATTAATGCAAAAGATATATATGTACCCGCCAACCATATTCGTTAACTCGTAATGCGCAGTATTTAATTTCATGGGTTTATAGTATGGGTGTCCCTATGATTTATTAAAAGGGCATTAAAAATTTTCATTATTTTTAAAAATTGTTTGTAAAGTCTCTATGATTTCTAAATAGAACACAGATATTCCTCTTACCTATTTTAAAAATTAAAATGACATTTATGCCTTTTCTTTTCCTTTATCTTGAATTTCTACTTTTTTATTTTCTTTTATTATACAAATTAAAATGAATAAATGAAAATTTTTAATTTGATATAGAGAGCGTATATTTTATTTTATTTATATAATAAAGGGAAAATGAAAATAAAAAAGTAAAACTTGAAAATAGAGTAAAAGAAAAGGCATAAATGTCATTTTAACTCTAAAAACAAGTAAGAAGGGTGTATGTATATTATTTTAAAACTACGGAGGTTTTACAAATAACACGAGATCACGGGATACCAATGTTATTAGCCCTTAATTTTATTTATATAACAAAATTATTACTCCCTCCGTCCTATAATGATCTTCTCACTCACTTTTTACACGGTCAAACTTCAATCACTTTCTTTACATATTTTCATTAGGTATTTAATAAAATAATATAGTCTTGTCACCACTTGTTTTGTAGAACTTTTGATGTAGTTTTTAAATATATAAATTTTATTTTTTAATTTTACACCTACAATCAAATAAATTGAATTGAAAATAAAGTTGGTCAAACTTCGTAAAGTGAACCGGGAAGAACATTATAGGACGAAGGGAGTATAATTCAACAGCATGCATGAATTTGATCAGCTTCAATAGCCTCTTTTGCCGGCACACATTAATGCAAGGGCATAAAAGTATGCTTTTTAGGTATGGGGTACCTTGGTTTTGTCAAATTGGGTCTGGTCGGTTAGGTTTTGAAAAATGCAAAATGAAAAATCAAATCGAAATATAGTTAACAAAAAATACAAATAGATATTTATTATTCAAAAAATAAAATTCTTCTCCTATAGTCTCTCTATTCCAAAATGTTAGAATATAAGAAACATTTCTTGAACCAAAACTACAAGTTTGAGCTTTTAGTTAAATTGATTCCGATTCTTGACACAAAAATCAGTTACATTTTCATTTTTTTGTTATCCTGAAATCTCCTTTACGTTTGTCTTTGAAAAGTAATAAAAGGGAAAATGTGAGTAGTTTTAAAATTTTATATAGCTTTGTTTTTTGATTAAAGAATAAAAGTTATGTAACCTTATTTTAAATTTAATAACATAAAATGGTGAAATGCATATTGGTATAATACCATAAAAAATACTCGTAAAAAGTTTTATATAAATTTAATAGTCATTGAGTATAATACTAATGAAAGTTAATTTAATTGTTTAAAAATTAATATAAAAGATACCAAACTTTTAGAATTAGAATTAATGTGTGTGTGTGCGTGCATGTGTGTGTGTGTGTGTGTATATATATATATATATATAGAAAAAATTATTAATTTGAGATAAATGCTGGACAGATTTAAAAATTTGTATATAATACTACTTTTAAAATTAATAGAGTTTATTTTAATTTTTAAGTAATAACATAACAAAGCATCATGGAGTGTATTTAGTTGTGGGATGTCTTTAGTGTTTTGGCGAGTGTTGTTATCACTATTCAAATTGAAATCACACTCTTATTGACATGTTAGATCTGGATTCTCCAATTTATCAGTTCTAGTAACGAAAGAACTGGTTCAAGATCCGATATTGGTTCGAAGTCAAAATCGGGTGCACCATTAATTGGGATCCATCTTTTGGTATACACAAGTTAAACACCCTCTTTCCGAGAATGATCGTCTATTACGGACTATGATGTTTAAATGAATTCATTTCAATTCAATTTGTATGACTCTTAAATATATACAAAGTAATTTATAAAAAATATTGTAATATTTAAAAACACAAAACAATAAGATTGTGTTATTTTACCAAATGAATAATACAAATAAAAAATACTTTTTATTTGTAAACACAAAACAATAAGATTGTACTATAAATTCTTTTTGGGAGGAGGATTATATTAGAAGGTTCATGTTCATAGGCTTTAGATTTAGTAAAATTTATACTAAATAGTACTAAAACACATCTCTTTTCTAATTTAGAACTTAAAACTTTTTTTCTTAAATATTACTTGAACAATGTCCAGTGTTAGAAATAATGTCTAGTGGCGATGGATAATTATTTGAATAATGTCCAATGAACACTAAATACTACACATTAAACAATGATATGACATTGAGAAATTAAAATATATTGTATGTTACTAATTGAGAAATTTACTACTACCTAGGCCGAAGCATGTTTGGGAACAATGCTGGAAGTATATGGTAGACGATGTATTGTACCGACAATGACGTCTCTTATATCACGAAGGTAGGTATTATATTTTCATCAATTTATGAAATCTTCTTTAAAATATTTTTTTACAGTTTAATTAATATATATTTTTGTCCATGTTAGGTCTTACCCTTAAAGAAGAACAAATTCAATCTTATGTTCTATGTCATATTGAAGAATTAATTTGATGTCGTGGGAGGACTCTTCGCGGTTACCCAGATCTGCCAAACGCAAACCTTCATGGAATTTGGACTCGAGCCAATCTAATGTTTTTTGATGAGATGCAATATGATCGCGTAACCTTGACGAGTGAACACATCACCCTTTTAGAATCATTAAATGACAAACAACGAAAAGAGTATGATGCCATAATACAATCCGTTAATACAGATTTAGGTAAAGTTTTTTCCTTCTATGTCTACGGTGGTACAGGTAAGACATACGTATGGAGAACTTTATCAGTTGCACTGCGGTCTAAAGATGAAATAGTCTTGAATGTCGCATCAAGTGGAATAACATCTTACTTTTACCTGGTAGTAGAACAGCTCATTCACAATTCAAAATCCCGTTGTTCCCAGACGAAAGCTTTACTTGCAACATTAAAGAAGGAATCTCAGTAGCACAACTCTTGCCAAAGGCCAAATTAATTATTTGGGATGAAACACCGATGACGCATAAGTATTGTTTTCAAGCTCTAGATAGAAGCTTGCGCGATATTCTGCGATGCTCTAATCTATTAAATGAAAATCAAATGTTCGGAGGAAAAACAATAGTCTTTGGTGAAGATTGTCAGCAAATATTGCATGTAATTCCAAAAGGAACCAGACAGGACATTGTTAAAGTCATAATTAATTCTTCTTACATTTGGAAAGATTGCATTGTGTTGCATTTAACAGAAAACATGTACCTGTAATCAATGACCAAGATAGTAGTTATGACTGCTTAGTTGAATTTGCTGACTGGATTGCAAGTATTAGCGATGGAGTTGCAGAGATGAACATGATATATGGCTATGCAGAAGTAATCCAATATGTAATATAGTGAATGCCATTTATCCAGATTTCCAAAAAATAGCCAAAGATCCGAGCTATTTGCAGGACCGTGCAATTTTGGCACCAACATTGGATGTCCTTGATTCTATAAATGAATATATGACATCGATGAATCCCGATGATGACTTGGACTCTAATTCGAATTTCTTTAATGATTTTCACACTCTTGAATTCTTAAATAAGATTCGTGCTTCCGGAGTTCCAAATCATGAGCTCATTTTGAAGGTAGGCACTCTAATTATGTTGCTAAGAAACGCTTATCACTCAATGTGTTTGTGTAATGGCACTCGATTGATAGTAACTCGCTTGGCTAATCACTTAATACAAGAAAGAATATTATCTCGAAGACATATAGGTCAACAAGTTGTTATTCAAAGACTATTGTTGACATCATCTGATGCAAGAATATCATTCGAATTTTAAAGTAGACAAATTTATATGGTTACTTATGTAATGACAATTAATAAGAGTCAATAGAAATCTCTAAAGCACGTCGGGTTACTACTACAGAAACCAGTTTTTAGTCATTGACAATTATATATTTTGGTTTCAAGAGTGAAAAATCGTAATGACTTGAAGATTTTTATATACAATTCAGAGAATGTTTCTACAAGATATACTACGAGTGTATTTTATAAAAAAAAAATTTTCGAAATTTGTAATTTACATGATATCCATGCTTTACACAAATGAAAGACATTATATTTCATTATATACTATATTCATTTTCTTTTATAATAACCACAATATAATTTTATAACACATATTCAGACCATGCAACATAGTGTGATATAGGTAAATTTACTTTAGACTTATGGGTACAAGAATTTATGGAAGGTAGTGGTAGGAAAAAGCTATTGTTTGTCAATAAAAAGAACAGAGTGTACTCCGTGTTTATCTATTTGTATATATATGCGATACTTTAATATCTTAGGCAAAATATAGAGACGAGAGAGTGATAACTTGTGATTTGAAGCCAATTGAACGCCATGGACCAATTGAAACCAAGCTTGCCAAATTCGTGTCCTCTCACGCCATTATCATTCCTCGAAAGAGCTTCCATTGTTTACGGCGAATGCGCTTCCCTCGTCCACAACTCCGCCGTCTACACCTGGTCCGACACCTACACGCGGTGTCGCCGCCTCGCCTCCTCCATCTCCACCGTCATTGGTCCCGGGAAGGGCCACGTCGTCTCCGTCGTCGCTCCCAACATTCCGGCCACCTACGAGCTCCAGTTCGCCGTCCCGATGGCCGGCGCCGTCCTCAACAACATCAACACCCGTCTCGACGCCCGGACGATCTCCGTTCTCCTCTCCCACGCCGAATCGAAGCTGGTCTTCGTCGATTTCCAGTTCTACCCCTTGGTTCTCGAGTCAATTTCGTTACTGCCACTCCCCGGTCAACGCCCGTTATTGGTCATAATCGAAGATGAACAGAGGGGTTGGGAAGCTAGAAATGATAGTTTAGTCTATGATACTTACGAAGGGCTGGTCAAAATCGGGGATCCGGGTTTCAATTGGATCCGACCCGCCGGAGAATGGGATCCAATGACACTTAATTACACCTCCGGCACCACTTCATCCCCCAAAGGAGTGGTGCATTCTCACCGGTCAATCTTTGTCATGACCATTGACTCTTTGATCGGGTGGTTCGTCCCGGACCGCCCGGTCTACCTTTGGACGTTGCCCATGTTCCATTCCAACGGGTGGTGCTACACTTGGGGCATGGCCGCGGTTGGCGGGACCAACGTGTGCTTACGAAAACTGGACCCCGATCTCGTATACTCTTACATCGAGAAATACAATGTAACGCACATGTGTGGTGCGCCCGTGGTACTTAACATGTTGGCTAATTCTCCACGGGCCAAACCGCTCGAGTCCCCCGTTCAGTTCCTCACGGGCGGAGCTCCTCCTCCCGCAACCGTGGTCATGCGCATTGAATCACTCGGATTCAATGTGAGCCACGGGTACGGGTTGACCGAGGTTGCCGGGGTGGTGGTGTCTTGCGCGTGGAAACCGAAATGGAACGGGCTCAGGGCGGAGGAACGGGCGAGACTGAAGGCGAGACAAGGGGTGAGGACGCTGGGGATGATGGCGGCGGACGTGGTGGAGGCAGGGTCTGGGAAGAGCGTGAAGCGAGACGGGGCCACGGTGGGGGAGATTGTCCTCAGGGGACAATCCATAATGTTGGGTTATCTCAAAAACCCCGAGGCGACGAAGTGGTGCATGAGAGACGGGTGGCTGTACACAGGTGACGTCGGGGTGATGCACCCCGACGGCTACCTGGAAATAAAAGACCGGTCAAAGGACATCATCATCACCGGGGGAGAGAACGTGAGTAGCGTGGAGTTGGAGTCGGTTCTCTACTCGCACCCGGCGGTGTACGAGGCGGCGGCGGTGGCCCGGCCGGACGACTTCTGGGGCGAAACACCGTGCGCTTTCGTAACTCTGAATCAAAACATCCACGACAACGACGACGGGCGAATGAAGAGTAAGCCAAGCGGGAACGAGATAATTGAGTTCTGCCGGGAAAGGCTGCCGCATTATATGGTGCCGAAGACGGTGGTTTTCATGGAGGAGCTACCGAAGACGTCCACCGGAAAAATTCAGAAATTTGCACTGAGAGGGATCGCCAATAAGATGGGGACTTTAACCTTGAGTAGAATGTAAGGGAATTCTGCTACCTTTCATTATGTTTGATTGTTTGGTTTTTTTACATTATTTATTTTTCAATTCGTGGTATATATATATAAGGTATACTCATATATACAAAATTGTGTGTAGTTGTTTGCCCCTCCATTCATGCAAATTGGAGGAAATTAGACAGTAGACCCTCATAGGTACACTTTATATACAGTGTATTACTCCGTATTATTCATTGTGCAATTCAATTGGGTTTATTTTGTCTCAATTTCTTCTCCTTTATACGGCGATTCGGCAAGTGTTCATCTTCTTTAGTCATAACATTTAATTCACTCACTCGCCTTTATAGTTCACGGGTGAGCACATTAACTCAAAAAGTACCAAGTACCTCCCACCCCATACTAAATAACTAAATTAATAGGAAATAAAAATTACAATTTTTCGAATTAAATTAAACAAATTTTGAGATTCAATTATTCTCAATTTCTATTACATATTAGTATAATAAAATAAAATTGTAAAAACTCTTAACTTGATATATCTATAAAGACATTTTTATACTAATATGCATTGTAATTTTTTTAATTGAAGTTCAAAGTTTACTATGTTTGACTATAAAAAGTTAAAGTGGATAAATACACTGAGACGGAAAGAGTACTCCATTCCTTATTCTATTACTACGTATTTTCTTATTATATTATTGTTATCATTATTCTTATTTGTCTAGGATTAGAATTTTCTCTTATAATCCCAATATATAGGGATATAACATGCATTATTAGATAAGAATATTTATTATCAAATTGTATCATGACACCAGAGTTAAGGTTCTCGAGAACCGAACTCTTTTTTACGATCGAGCAATAGCTGGTCTCTCTATTCCTCGACGGACAACTGCCATCTCCATGGCGGTGACGCATCCCCTAGCTTCTCTCCCTTATGGAGTAAAACTTCTAATCCAGAATCTTCATAATCTTATTCCAGAAAAACTCATGACTACAATCTATCCTGCGTGGTCTCTACCGCCCATATCTATTAACTTCACGAAGAGCTATATACACTCCAGAAAGGTACCAAATCCATGACTCAATATCTTGATGAAGTTACTTCGAACCACCGACCTTGATGCGTTGCGTGAAAATGTATTTGGACGTGATATTGTCAATGTTGTTATTCGCAGTCTCCCTGCCGAGTATTCCGATGTCAAACAAAACACCCGCCTACAAAACATAGACATCACTCTCAATCAGCTTTCCGGATGGCTCACTTCAGAGGAAATTAATCTTGAGACGGAGCAAAATCCGAACTTGGATGATTCTTCTTCTAGAGAGACGCATACTACTTTGATCTCTACAGGTAGTCGAGGAGCATACTGCAATCGACCGTCTTGATTCTATTGAACTTCTACTTTTGATAAAAGTATTCATGTTAGTTGCATATATACTTATTAAAAAAGCATTGAAATAAAAGAAATGAAATTATCAAAAGTAATATTTTTTAATTTCTACTACTCCTATGATATATTTTTTATAGACCAAAAAAAATTTCTATCCGTCCTAAAAAATGTCAAGCTATTCTTCACACGATCAAATGTTAATCACTTTCTTTACATATTTTCATTAGTCATTTCATGAAGTGGTATAGTCATGTCATATCTTATTTTGTAGAATTTTTGATTTAGTTTTAAAATATATAAATTTTATTTTTAAACTTTATACTTGTAATCAAATAAATTAAATTAAAAATAATTTCAGTCAAACCTCATAGACCGAAATGGAAAGAATATTTTAGAATAGATGGAGTAAAAATTTGTTTTTATTTAAAAAAAATAAAGACCTAGACTTAAATTGGTCCCAAAAACTCCTATTACGAATAATGCAAATGCTTCTAAGAGATCAATCTGATCTAACCACTTGGTCCTATTGTTCATCTCTACCTCAAAGGGTCTCATACCAAAAATCCTGAACCAAACATGTGTACTAATATATTAAAAATATAATAATCTTATTATATTTTTTTCATTAAGTAATAAGTTTATTTTGAAAATTTGGCTCAAATTATATTAGTTGTGCAATGTACATTTATTCGAATTTTAATTTTTTGCACAAGAGTTTAAAAATATTAGCATGCCTTAGACTTACTATTTTGTTACAATCCATTTATAACTTGTGAAATATAGACTAAGTTCTTAAACATTTTTTTACATTTAATTATTCATTCTATAATTTTTTTGTTTATCTATTTAAATTTATTCTCACATTTTTCACAAATTAAGAGTTTTGTAACGTTCTAAGGTGCAAATTAGTTACATATCTATTCATTTCGATTTGTACTGGAACCGATATCAAACTATTTCAAATCTTATAAAATTAAATTTTAGGATCCGTATCGATATAACAAAGAAACTATACCGAACTAAAACATTTGGAACGAAGTAAATATAGGACCATCCTCACCCCTAATGTAAGATTTGTGCTCTTTTGGTTCCCTTTGGATTGATTGGTGACGTGTGATGACTGAGTGCAAATGTGGTAGATTCTTGCAGGGCCGATATTTCTGAATGGAAAGCGATAAGAATCCGTGAATCTGCTCAAGATCCCCTCCCTTCATTCCACGAAAGCGGCGTGAACAATGGAGCTGGCCACCGCTGACCCAGACCCACTGTAATCACCACGACAAAATTCACTCCCAACCCCACACTCAAAATCTCATATTGGACTATTCAATTGCCCAGAACGATACAAAGCTCCAATCTTGCGCAAAATACTGCCAAATTCAAGAACCCATCTTTTCTTCTCAATGGATCGCTCCGCCAGCACAAGAAGGGAGCCCCCGGGCGCCATGGAGTTGAGCTTAGATTCCAAGAAGAGTGACGGCGGCGCGGCCGATTCTGTAGAGAGGATTTTCCAGTCCGAAGAGGTGCCTTCGTGGCGGGGCCAGCTGACTTTGAGGGCTTTCTGCGTGAGCTTAGTATTGGGCATTCTCTTCACCTTCATAGTCATGAAGCTCAACCTTACCACTGGGATTATCCCTTCTCTGAATGTCTCTGCTGGTCTGTTGGGGTTCTTCTTTGTCAGGACCTGGACCAAGTTTCTTGAGAAATCTGGGTACTTGAAGCAGCCCTTTACCAGGCAAGAAAACACTGTGATTCAGACTTGTGTTGTTGCCACATCCGGCATAGCCTTCAGTGGTAAAAATCTACGTAATTTTTTTTGTTTAATGATTTTCCATTGATGTTATTGATGTGTATAATTTGGTTATGGTTCTTCTATGCGTTCTTGAAGTCATAATATTTCTGTAAATGGATAGAATAGGATGGTTGAATTTTAATTTTCCTCAATTTCATTAATTTGGCTTGGCTGAATTTTCAACCTCTACAAGTTGCATGTAATCAGGAGGTGATGTGTTGTAGGGAGTCCACTCGGTCATTAATTTGTGTCTACAAGAAACTTTGATACACTTTAAGACAGTGGGACCCATGGGGCTGCAAAGGCCAAATATGGTTTTTTCACTTTCTATAATGGCTGTCATGATAAACCCATGTCCAGCACCTATTCTCCTGGTTAGGTCTGGACGTTGAAAATTAATAGAATTGCCCCTTGAAGACATGTGCATATGCCCCTGCCCCTGTTTAATTTGAAGGGCCCAAAATCATGTTTTTGAGGCCAAAGCTTAGAACTAGAAACTACTCCCTACTTTTGAGTGGCTTATGTGTTTTGGCCCCTAATCACTTTTGCCCTATAGAAGAATGAATTGTATATTTCATTGATAATTCTCAACAATATTTATACAAGGAATTTTAACAGTCTTGCCCTAAAGAGGGGGAAGATGAGGCTGGCCGATCCTATTTACATGGAGGGAGTTAGGCTTGTAGATTACAACAAAACTAGGATAATTACAAAGAAAACATAAACTAGAAATATAGAATTAATTATCCTTAATACGCCCCCGCAAGATTGGGGTGCCGTCAGAAACACCAAGCTTGGAATGCAAGCGGAGAAACGGAGTAGCAGGTAGAGGTTTGGTTAGAACATCAGCGGTTTGATCTCCAGATGCAATATGCTGAACATGAAGATTCCCAGAAGCAACAAGTTCACGAACAAAGAAATAGTCCAGAGCTAGATGCTTCATACGAGAGTGAAAAACAGGATTCTTACAAACATACGTTGCCCCCAAATTGTCACAGAATAGAGTAGGCGGTGTACAAATAGGAAAGCCAAGCTCACTGAGAAGATTACGAATCCAAAGCGTTTCAGCAGTAGCATGAGCTAGAGCACGATACTCTGCCTCAGTCGAAGATCGCGAAACAGACTTCTGACGAACTGATTTCCAAGAGATAACATTGGAGCCGAGATAGATAACATACACTGTGGTGGAGCGTCCCTCATCATGCACTCCACCCCAATCGGAGTCGGAGAAAACAGTAAGGGTAGAAGGAGCATCACCACAAAGATAAAGACCATGATAAAGAGTACCACGAAGATAGCGCAAAATGCGTTTTGTAGCTTGCCAGGGAGTAACTGTAGGAGCATGCATATGCTGAGATAGTTTATTAACAGCATAAGCAACATCGGGTCGAGTAATCGCTAGATACTGAAGAGAACCAATCAACTGGCGATAAGAGGTCACATCAGCCGAAGGAGTGCCATCACCTAGTAGCAACAGAGTGGTTGCAGACATGGGTGTACTTACTGGTTTGGCATCAGTCATGTTGTGGGTCTGCAAAAGATCAGTGATATATTGTCTTTGAGAAAGGAAGACGCCCCCGCGAACCGGAATAACCTCCACCCCAAGGAAATGATGTAAAGGGCCAAGATCCTTCAAAGAAAACCGTTGGGACAGGCATAAAACAAACTTATCAAGGAGAGCAGGGTGACTGCCCGTGAGAATTATATCATCGACATAAACCAAAAAATACATCCGAACAGAGTCACGGAAATAAATAAACAAAGAGGCATCAGCCACAGATTTACGGAACCCAAATTGAAGCAAAAAACCTGTTAATTCAAGATACCACGCACGAGGAGCCTGCTTCTGACCATACAAGGCTTTCTGGAGCTTACAAACATAATCAGGGTAGGTCTTGTCACGGTAACCAGAAGGTTGTTCCATATAAACATCTTCATGCAAGGTGCCATTAAGAAAGGCATTATTAACATCTAACTGACGAAGGGGCCACTTGCGAGATAAAGCCACGGTAAGGATAAGCCGAATGGTGACCGGCTTTGTAACAGGACTTAAGGTTTCAAAATAATCACGACCAGGCTGTTGCAGAAACCCCTTAGCCACCAAGCGCGCTTTATAACGATCAATAGAACCATCTGGCTTTCTCTTAATCCGAAAAACCCACTTGCACTGAATAGGACTGTGACGTGGCCGAGGAATCAGCACCCAAGTTCTATTGCGTTGTAACGCATGAAACTCCTCGTCCATAGCACGCCTCCAGGCCACAGATTTCATAGCTTGGCGGACATTGGCCAGGCAACTCAGAATCGGCAAGAGTACAAACATTGACAAGATTGTCATTAAAATAACAGGGATTACGCGTTCTCTCTCGCACTGGTCGACATGGTGGTGAGGAAGCAGATACAGGCAGAAAAGTAGGGCTGGGAGTAGACGGAGAGGGAGTGACAGTATGGGTAGGCTGGACAGGTGAAGAAAAGGGAGAGTGAGACGGAACATCCGGAGGACGGGAGACAGGCAACAAGGGAAGGGGGTTACTGTCAGTATGCGAAGGAGACTGAGACGGAAGCTGGTCACCAGGTAGAGAAGGAAAAATATGAGGGACAAACCGAACATGTCGAGAGATATAGATCCGGCCAGAGGAAATATCATAACATCGGTAGACGGATTGGGACAAAGAGTAGCCCAGGAAGATACACGGGACAGAACGGGGACTAAGTTTGGTAGGATGATAGGGCCGAAGCCATGGGTAACACAGACAGCCAAAAGGTTGCAACTTATCATAGTTAGGCGTCATATGAAAAAGACATTGGTAAGGAGAGAGATTATTTAAGGTAGGAGTAGGATGAAGGGAAGCACCACTGTCCAAAAGCCAAGGCTGATTTGCCACATTCTGCGTAACCACATTATGTGCTTGTGGAGGAGTGGAAGAGTTGTCCAATGACACACAGTGATTATCCTTTAAGAATCGTTGTAGTTTACGACAAAATTTGGTGTCATGACCAGGATAATTGCAAAAATTACAGTGACGGCCAGAACGACCTCCTGTTTTGACTTGCCCAGACCGCATGCCCCTGCCACGACGAGAACCACCTGCGTAGTTGTTGCTCATGAATGAGCCACCAGAAGAATGTCCTGACAGGAAATGGTTGTGTTGTGCTCCAACGCGACTACCTTGGCTGGACCCAGGCTGAGAGTAGTTGGCAGTGGGCACAAGAGAATCAGTCACCACAGTTGTGTTTTGCAATTGCCGCTCACAGTCAGTGATAATATGAGCAAGTTCATCAATGGTGAGAGACAGACCATTTCCACGGAGGGGCTGATAAGCAGATATATACTCATCTCCCAGTTGAGTGATAATAGAGACAATGAGATCATCATCGTCAACAGGACTACCGGCTAGAGCCAGGTCACCAGCAATCTCCATCATATCCGCCATATATTTTTCAATAGAGCGGTTGCCTTTAGGATTCTTATTGAGTTGAGCCTTGAGGGAAATAATACGTCCACGAGACATACCTGCAAGGTAAGCATTGAGACGAGACCAAGCAGCGTGAGATGTTTCAGCAAGAGAGATAAGAGGTTGTACTGCATCTGAGCACGATCCAAGGAGAGCACCTAGAAGAATTTGATCTTGTCGAAACCAAGTTGTATATTCGGGATTCACTTTGGTACACGCTGCATCTAGGAATTGTTTGGGAGCTTTGACAGAGCCATCAACATAGCCCAATAGATGCATCCCAACTAAGGTAGATTGAACCTGCCTGCGCCAAACCAAAAAATTTGATTTGGTCAGTTTGATGGGGAAGTGCTTTGGGGCAGCCAACAAGATTGGTTCATCGACGGTAGCGGACATCGTCGGAGAGGATAGCACAGTAAGACAGCGTGCGAATATGGATCGAAAAGGAGTTCTCGGTTAAGAGAGATATAGCTCCGATACCATATAGAAGAATGAATTGTATATTTCATTGATAATTCTCAACAATATTTATACAAGGAATTTTAACAGTATTGCCCTAAAGAGGGGGAAGATGAGGCTGGCCGATCCTATTTGCATGGAGGGAGTTGGGCTTGTAGATTACAACAAAACTAGGATAATTACAAAGAAAGCATAAACTAGAAATATAGAATTAATTATCCTTAATATGCCCAACTTTTTATCCAAAATTTCATTTTGCCCCGCTTCAATCATTTTATACGGGGCACTATGTTTTTAGTTGTGCCATAGGTATTCTTAAGTAACTTGACTGATAGTATGGTAATTTGTAGTCTTTTGAACTTGCACTTGATGCATAAGAGTAGAAAACATAAATTACTTGGTCATGGTACTTATAAGACCGGTTAAGTGCCAATGTTTGCTATGAAAATTAACGTTCTAGTTGGTTATAATCAGTTGTTTCAAGAATGTTATTTCGGTGTATGCCATGCATCTTTGACATTCATGGGGTTTTGCCGAACGGATTAAGTGCAGGAATATTAGTCTTCATGCCTTTTCATTATCTCCATTCTTTAGAGGGAACATTATCACTTAGTGTAATGAAAATCTGATTGTTCATAGCTTATCATACCATTCATAACGCATCCATTATAAATCATCTAACCATTAATGATATAGCCGTTATAAGTCATCTTTCCATTACCATTAAATTATCTTGCAATTAGGTTGAAAGAATTGGTGTCCAATTGTTTTGGATCTGCAGGAGGTTTTGGAAGCTACATGTTTGGGATGAGTGAGGCTGTTGCCAAGCAAACAAACGTAGCTAATGATGCAGAGAACATTAAGAATCCCGGGGTGGCTTGGATGATTGGTTTTCTCTTCGTTGTCAGCTTTCTTGGCTTATTTTCAGTTGTTCCTCTTAGAAAGGTACATTTCTGATTCACCAATATATTTTTTAATCTTCACATCACTTTGCAGCGTTTTTTTGTAGCTGTAGAATCGTCTTACACGGTCATCTTATGAAATTGGTATTTTATAAATTGTTTTAGATTATGATCATAGACTTCAAGCTCACATATCCAAGTGGCACAGCCACTGCTCACTTGATCAATAGTTTCCATACTCCACAGGGAGCTAAGCTGGCAAAGTGAGTCTAATGCAATATTTGCATATTAATAATAACAATAACAATAATAATCATCGTCATCATATTATTACTAAACAATTGCTGCAGGAAACAGGTAAGAACTCTTGGGAAGTTTTTCTCCTTCAGTTTCATGTGGGGCTTCTTCCAGTGGTTTTTTAAGGCAGGAGATGACTGTGGGTTTTTAAACTTTCCCACATTTGGTCTTGGTGCATATAAACACAGGTACATTACATTCTTGATGATTTAATTGCACGGGCTAATGATCGCCACTCAACTTTAATGCTTTTGCTTCTTCATCTTTTTCCAGGTTTTACTTTGATTTCTCAACAACTTATGTGGGCGTTGGGATGATTTGTCCACATCTAGTCAATGTATCGGTGCTACTTGGAGCAATCCTTTCGTGGGGGATAATGTGGCCTCTCTTATGGAAACGCAGAGGCGATTGGTATCCTGCAAATCTAAGTCCAAGCAACCTAAACGGCTTGCAAGGTTACAGGGTACATAATTAATATGCCTAATTCCTTACTCACTCTTTTTCTTTCTTTCTTTCTATGGTAATGTCAAAGTTTGCAGCTTAATTAATTCTTCAAATGTCATTCTTCACAGGTCTTCATAGCAATTGCCTTGATTCTCGGGGATGGTCTTTACAATTTCTTCAAAGTCCTTGGCCGCACCTTGTACGGCTTGTATCACCAATTTTACAAAAATAAATCCGTCTTATTGCCATTCGCCGGGCCCTCCTCTCCTCCGGAGCCTACTACTACTGTTTCCTTTGACGACCAACGTAGAACCCAACTTTTCCTCAAGGACCAAATCCCAACATGGTTTGCTGTTCTTGGCTATGTCTCCATTGCCATAATCTCAACCATCACACTCCCACACATCTTCCACCAACTCAAGTGGTACCACATTCTGGTCATGTACGTCTTTGCCCCCTTGCTGGCCTTCTGCAACGCGTACGGGTGCGGTCTCACGGACTGGTCGCTCGCGTCGACTTACGGGAAACTTGCGATTTTCATTATCGGTGCGTGGGCGGGGGCCACTCACGGCGGTGTTCTCGCCGGGCTGGCCGCGTGTGGGGTCATGATGAACATCGTCTCGACCGCATCGGACCTCACCCAGGACTTCAAGACCGGTTACATGACCCTGGCTTCACCCCGGGCCATGTTCATCAGCCAAATCATTGGGACCGCGATGGGTTGCGTGATCTCCCCTCTTGTGTTTTGGGTCTTCTATAATGCCTTCCCGGACTTGGGCAAAACCGGCTCGGAGTACCCTTCACCCAACGCAACTGTCTTCCGGAACATGTCGATTCTCGGGGTCGAAGGGTTCTCGTCTCTCCCAAAGAACTGCCTCACGCTATGTTATGTGTTCTTCGCTGGGGCCATCGTCATAAATGGGGTAAGGGATTTGGTGGGGAAGAAGAGAGCTCGGTTCATTCCCCTCCCCATGGCAATGGCCATCCCATTCTACATCGGAGGGTACTTTGCGATCGACATGTTCGTCGGGAGCACGATACTGTTTGCGTGGGAGAGGGTAAACAAGGAAAAGGCCGATGCTTTCGGACCGGCTGTGGCGTCTGGGTTGATATGTGGAGATGGGATGTGGACCCTGCCGGATTCGATTCTTGCGCTCGCAGGGGTGAAGCCGCCGATTTGCATGAAGTTCTTGTCGAGGAAGGAGAATACGAGGGTCGACGGTTTCTTGGTGGGTTCTTGATTCATGATTTCTGCATCTTGGAAGCCAGATTTCTTGTTTTCTTTCATAGGTTTATGTGTCTGTGTGTGTAGTGATGATGATGATGATGATGATGAGTTCTCAAAGGGAATTGGTCTGTTTCTTTATCATCTGTATGTGTGTGCAATGTTAAAGAACCCCACCATCATTGATGTTCATAGTTTGTAAATTTTGTACGTACAGTTGTAATAATACAACATACTCCATTTTTTTCTCTAAAGGTTGATGTGTATGTATATTGATGATCAGTTCAAAGAGAATTGAGATGTTTCTTTTTAATCTGTATTTATGCAACTATCATCCGCCCCAGTTTGTTTTTTTTAAAAACTTTTTCCCCTATTATTAAGAGTAGTTATTGAAAAATTTGCTTCATATAAGACTAAAAGATAGTACATTTCCCCGAAAGTATTCTTATCACTTCTTATTTTGTACGTATAATTTTTTATGTACTTTTTAAATATTTGAATTTTATTCTTTAAATAAAATAAATTGAAAAAATTTGATATTTTACATCGTTTTACTTAATAGGTAAATGATTTAGGAACGGAGGGAGTATAACCTAATTTGAGAAAGTATTATAATCATTGTCTTCAATATTTGAAAATTATTTCCCCAACCATTCTTTTGAGGATTTATTCTTGTAATACTTCTCAAATATAGAAGACCATTAGTATGTTCTTAAAAGACTTATTTTTTGATAATATTTTCTATTGTTTACTAGGAAGAAAAATATTTTCTTAAAAAAATTAGTTTTTATTGTTAATATTTGACAATAAATATTGGAAAAGATTTTTTGAGACAATTTAATAATCCCTCCGTCCCAATTTATATTGCCTATTTTGGTTTATAATGTTTGACTGAAATTATTTTCAAATCATTTTATGTGAAAAATGGTGTAAAATTAAAAAAATAAAAATTATATATTAAAATACTACACTAAAAGATCTACAAAACTAGTTGTGACATGATTATTTTATTTTATCAAATTACTACCGAAAAAAGAGAAAGAAAATGAATAAAGTTTGACCTTGTGAATAATAAACATGCAATTTAACTTGAGATGAAGGGAGTTATATTTTAGTAGCATAAGGGACGACGAGGGTAGATGAGAGGCAGGGGCGGGTGGGGTGAGTGTGGATGGGGGAGGGTAGGAGAGTGAGGAGTAGAGATGGACGAGGGTGGTAGTGTATATGGGACCGAGGTATGGGGTCGTGGGTGGGTAGGGCAGGGGGACAGGGTGGGTGGGAAAGAGGTATGGGGGTGGAGCGGGGGTGGGTGGGGATGAGCCAGATAAAGTATGAAAATTTTCTTTTGAAATTAAAATTTTCCACAAATTGACAGAAAATATTTTCCTCGAAAAATATTTTTCTTCCACTAGTCACTACCCGATGTGTAGGGAGGTTGATCCATGACCGTACAACGGTTGGAAACTTGAGAACAATGGCTTGTCCATTATGAATTTATGTATTTTGATAATTGATAAACACAAGGACAAATACAATGACGAAATATGACTGGAGAAGATCTCACATTTTATTGAGATCAAATGTCCATCAATTAAAATGAAGATTTCCAAATTCCAATAGTAAAACTTGAAAATTAAATTGTTTAGATGGATTCAAAATGATGCTTACATTGTTAGCGATATGTGGGAATGACTGGTAATGACGGGGTGGCGGACAGTACCTGAGGCTCGATAGTGTAAATAACCGACAACAGTGAGTGATCAATAATTGAAAGATACTCTTTATATCAAAATACTCGAATTGACATCCTCCACATTACAAAGATATTTAACGGTTTGCCAAACGTAATCTACTTTTCAACAAACTGTCCGACTGGTGCTGTGCATTATACTCCCTCCGTCCTAAAACTATCTTCTCAATTACTATTCATACGCTCAAACTTAAATCGCTTTCTTTACCTATTTTTGCTACTTATTTGATAAAATAATACTCTTATAGCCTTGTCACCTCTCGTTTTGTATAATTTTTAATATGTAAATTTTATTTTTTAATTTTTCATCTACAATCAAATAAATTGAATGGAAAATAAAATTGGTCAAACTTCGTAAACACATGGGGAGATGATTTTAGGAAGGGAATGTTCTTTCAGTAATTTAAAAAATTGATAAGAGCCCTAGTCAGCCACACGGTGTGTTCTCGGTTCTGATGACTTAGCCATTCTCCAGTGCCCAGCGGCGCCAAAACCGCTCCTTTTCATGCACGCCAACTTCTCTGGAATCGGTATTTCATCGGGCCAAACAAGAAACTGAAATACTCCGCATCAATTTACTGATTCATAATTATGGTTTGGGGCCTCTTCCCTGTTGACCCACTCCCAGGTTCCGATTTCTTATTCTATTTCACGAGCTTCCCATAATGTTTTTTCAACCCGTAATAGTATTTCAAAGATAAGAGGTTATAGTTGATGGATTATGTTTGTAGAAGGATGGAAAATGTGGGTGGCCTGTTCTTTTTACATCTTCTTNTGATGACCTTCGTTCTTAAAAATGATTTTTTTTTTCTTTCAAAATTAACGTTTAGCTTCCAAAGCTCACAATGGTCAGTGCATTGTGATAAACCATATGGCAATATCGTATTTCTAGCTTTAGATTTTAGGGGTTCTCATTGCTGATTTTACGACAGGTATGCTGGTAACTACATTAGTTTGTCTAGGACTTGTGAGGCATGTTTGGTAAACAACATTTTGTCTAGCATTGTGCTGTTTTTTCTTAGTCAAGTACCGTGATGTTTGGTAAAGTAGTATTTTGATGTTCGTTAGAGTAGTTTATGTTGAACAAAATGCAGATAGGATCGACACTTTGTTATTAGCATTTTAGTTTTAGTTTTTAGCATTATGCTGAGTTACCAGACTTCTTTTTAAAATAATAACTACTCTGTATTAAACAAATCTGCTAATACCAAATGATAAGTGATAACTGTCGTCTGCTATTTGTCAAACACCGCCTCAATGTTTCTTCCTCTGCACAGTCAACACTTCTGTATTTTTAGTTCATGAAATTTGAATTCTGCTGTTTTGGAGATCTCTTACGCTATGTTTGGTTCGTGGATTTCAAAAGGAAAGGAAACAAAAGATGTTTCTCTCTTCCTCACCAATATGGAAGGAATCTATTTTCCTTTCCTTCGACCTTTCTTTTCTTTTCCTCTCTAACCAAAAACAAAAATCGTTTTCCTTCTAATTTTCATTTCTTTTCCCTTCCAAAATCCTTGAACCAAACACAGTGTTAGGATTTTGAAATTCTCCATCTACGAAGTGGAAGCAGTGTAACCTATATTTCAATATAAAGTTGTTAAACACTTCACACAAGTTTTAGTTTCCCTGTGAGTTTCTCACGCGGTGGTGTACTACTGCTCAATTTATGTGCTCACATATTGAGTGCGAACTCTGTTATCAGCAGTGCGTTCTACTTTTTTTTGGGGGGGGGGGTCACGGGTGGTGCTTCTTCGAATCATCGCTAGTTATGTGATTACCCTCCAAATGCCCACTATAGCATCACTTTGGGAAATGGCTAGCAATTGCATGCTGTTAATTCTGATTTCAGTTTTGCAAGTGAACTGATATAGTATTGTTCTTTTGTGTGATAGGTGAGAATAAATACTATTTCTCCAATAAAGGAACATATAAAGTCGGTCGAAAAGGTACCCTGGGACAAAGGTGGTCTATTTTCAGCTCCACTAAACCAGTAATTGTATTTTTAACATTGTCTATTATATCGTTTGTTCGTCCAGGATGTGATATAATTGTCAACAAAGATAAAACAGTTTCAAGGATCCATGCAGAAATTGTGATAGATGAGATGATATATTTGGAGAAGGTGAAAAAGCATTCGGATGTGGCCTCTAAAGTGCGGATAAGAGACTGTTCAAAGTATGGAACCTTCATCGGCAATAAACTCACTTCAAAGGTGAAGGTTCACGAGTTTCCAAGTAAGGAAACAATGTTGAACGATGGGGACCTGGTTTCATTTGGTACTGGCAGTGCAGTATATAGGTAATCCAGGTGCATTGCTAACACTAATGGAATCATCTTCTTGTCATTAATGTTGTTGGTGTTCTTATTATTATTATTGTTATTGTTATTGTTATTTATTGTTATTGTTATTATTATTATCAACAATTAATATTAATATTATATCAAATCGAGGGCCCTCCTTTCTGAAACATACACATGTGTGCGTGGGCGGGGCCTTAATAACATGTGATTCTTTGCAGGTTTTCTTTTGTTCCCCTTGTATTTTTCATTTGCTCACCAGACAAGTCTAGAGCAAGTCAACTTATTACAAAGAATATATCAGCAATAGGTGAGTGGTTTTAGCTTATACTCTGTATGTAACATGGCAAGTGGCTTGTTTTATGAATGAAGAAACTACTCGAAAAGGTTTCTGAATAACTAGACATGTAAACAATTTGTTAAGCAGTATCATACTTTTGTAGTATTGTATGCACTATATTTATCTCTTAGTTTTGTACTTTTCACCTTGTATCTTAGTGGTTATCCGAAAGAAGAAATCTAAATAGGATTGGAACACGACTAAAGTACCAAAACAGGAATTGTAAAAATGGAATGGTGGAATACTTAAGTCTTTGTACGACTAAAAAGAGGGCAAGCTGACAAAATTAACCCTCATTCATACATTAACCATATTAATGCTTTTACAATTAACAGCATCCACAGTACACCGCCTTTGCGCTCCACAACTGTTTCTCTACATGGCCATGTTGCCGGATTCCAGCTACCACTTCCAGGTACGGTCAGTACAGTCAGAGTCTGGCTGTCCTGTCAGATTCTGGGCACTGGAATATGGCCACTTCTACAAGACTCCGCCCACTGCTGCTCTTTACTGTCATCCTGTTATGGTCGAAAGCTCAAAACTTTATCTTTTATTTTTAAAAACAATTTAATTCATTGCTACCTCAAGATCACAGTGCCATCCATTATGGCAATGACAACCATGATGCCGGTGAAAGTATAGCAGTGTTTAAACCTAATTAGCACTGCTACTTGTCATCACATTGTCATCTAGATCACCACCATTGCCCTGTGACAGTGCTATCATCCACCACCACACACTACCACCCCCCCTCTACCTCTACTAAGATTGCCATCTACGGATCTACCAAAATACCGCTCCCTTACAATGACACCTGCCCATCGCCACACATCGTCATCCCATGATCCCATCCTCCACCACTGCCACCCTACACTGCCAAAGC